TTGTTCTGAAAGCTGAACCTGCTGCTCACAGAGAGGAAAGGGGAGAGGCTGTGTGAATTACTTTACATTGTGGATAAGGGTGGATAGCCCCCATTGTTCTGTGTGTCAAAATGAAAGACAGCCCACACACCTATCAATCATCAAACCGTGGGGTCTTACAGTTGTACCGATTTATATAGAGATCTACTACAGCAAAAGTATTCTCCGTCGAGACTTCCTGCAACAACACCACGCCGTTATCTTAATTCTGATTGGCCAGAAGATATTATCAAAGATGTTCTATTGAGAAGACGATCACTACGTGACAAAAGTGTTCAAAACCGTTTCTAGTCTTCAGTATTTCCAGACAAGTGGCTACTGAAATCAATCTTACTAACTGCTGTCTGTGCAATTTACTCCGCGAGTTGGCAGACTTTATTTTGCTTACTTTAACATCATTGTTCATGGTGGGGCTAAGCCATTTATTGGTATGGCTGTAGCCTACCCCAGCCATACCCTGACCGCAAATACCTCATTCCTTCTGTCTACTTGTATCCGAAATGCTTCTCGTTTTGCGCTGTCCTCCCGTTCAAATGAAATCGCCGCCAATCATATTTCCAAGCTCGCGCCAGGGGGGGGTGGGGGGGAGGGGTTACAAGGCTCGCGTCTTGTGCTGCATTCACTTGCACTCGGACATTAGAGATTTTCTCTCATAAATGTCCGATGAGCCACAACTTTTCTTTCAAAACAAAGCTGCCAAATGGGGTGGCAGCTGGGGTGGCAAGGCATTTTTCTGAGGTGGCAGCTGCCACCCCGTGCCACCCCGTAGAACCGCCACTGCTGCCTAGTTTGATTTCATTGAGTTGACAGGGTGTATGCTATTAGAATTGAATGAATGGATGTCTTTCAGTAACAGTTTTATTTGTGTGTGATCAGATTGCAGGAGACATGCTGTGTGCAGACCAGAACTTTGACATTGCTCAAGTGATCCGCTTCTTCAGGTCAGAGGTGATTCGCCACAATACGATTTCATCTATATCTAGTGGACATAAAAGCATACAACCGAGTGTGTGTTCTGGGTTTTTATCAAGGTAAAATTGATTTTTTAAGTCATGAGCAGCCCTTCCCTTTGTGTGTGTTGCAGCCTGGAGAGTTAATCATATACTACGAGTTGGAGGAAAGTGAGAAAAGCAGCTCCAGAGGTATAGTGGAGGTTTCCCCCGACACCCACAGGTGAGGAGATGTTATTTACCTATAGTTTAATAAAATGGAGAAGTGATGTATTTTTGAAGCATCGCAAGGTCTCCCTCGTCAAATATCAGAGAGATTTCCCCGTTGGATTTCGGAATATTGCGGAAATATCCTTTGTGGTTTGAGGATATTTAGTAGTTTAATTAGTTATTTAGCAACCACCGTTTTATGACTCATAGAAGCTTCGGAAATTCAGTGGTGTAATTACTGACTTATTTAATTTCAAAGAACCAAACTTCAAAATCTCTTCAGCTTGTTTTAACCAAATACCTTATTCCAGGCTTCTGACTAAAATCACATTAAAAAAAACTTTGACCTCGTGACGACGAATTCGGATGTTGTAAAATGCTTATTCATTTTAGAGTTTTAGGACTGATTCTAGCACACTTCTCTAAAAAGCACCACATGCTGTAACAGCAGCAACAAATGCACAGTATGTTATTTTCTGCCACTAGGGGTCTCTATCAAAACAATAACAAAAGAGTTTAGTGGCGTGGTAAAATAGCCTTGGATCATTGGAGGTGCTGCCTTTACCACCAATGCTTCTTCTACCTCTAGCGATTAGGATTTGTTTAGTGTTCATCGGTCAATAGCTTTTACTGGAAGCCAGGTTATCCACAGAGGAATTATCTAAGCCAAAACAAACAAATGAAAACCAATATTGCAGAAATGTCTCATGTTTGACCTTTTTACAAAACTACTTTGTGTGTGGCACTTTCATTATTTTGCAGATTAGATTTTAATCTATTGTAGTGTTCTGAATCAGGGTAACACGCTTCTTGGAGAAACCTCAGGACAGGCTCACAGCGTCCCGGCTGGCCAGCGTTGTGTTTTACTGTCTCCAGAGAGACACACTGTCCCACCTGTCCGACTTCCTGCGCCTGCAGCCTCAGGCATCCTTCGGACGATTCTGGGTTCGTAAGTTGTAATTCAAGAAGTGTGACCTCAGATCAAGTTATAAACTGTAGATGTTGCCCCCTCACAAGATTAAACTGGACTTTTCTCTACTAACTAATTGCCTAGTAATGTTAAGTAAACATTCATTTTGGAATTATTGTTCGAATTTTCATTGAAAATAGATTAAATGATTACAGTGTGATTTATTTAGTTTAAAGATAATTTGGACCAGACAAGTTTTGTCGAATGTAGATCTATAGGCTTGGACATCGCTGCAGCTCCACAATTCTTACTGTATATTCAAATAATATTTGAACACATTAAGCCTTTGACCAATATTGTGCTTAAACAATTTGAATATTGCACTAGTCCATATGTGATTTCGATTAAATTCTCAATATTTGTGGAGCCCTACGAGAAATGTATAATGGGGTCAATTGACACTAATGTTGCCCTTGTGTGACTATTTTATCTGCACATGATTTAAAAAGTAGGTTTTTGGGCAATTACTGTATGACTTTGATTATGATTAAACTTTTCCTTGTGAAAATTTGACTCATTAAGATTGTAATCAGTCCCACTGTGAAGCTGACAATTGAGCGGCCCGACCAAGCAAGGAGACAGAGGCAGAACGTCCAAAATACAACCCGGTGTGGGCATTTATTACATCATGAACACATGACACACAGCCTCAATCCTGCTGTTTCTCCCTGAACACAGCCTGCAGCCACAAGGACCTCACACACACTCCCTCTCCCTTAACAGACAGGGAAACAGAGCCTAAATACACACACTAATCAGCAATTAGACACAGGTGGGGGGGGAGGAGACAACACAGGGCAGCAGGTGCACACAATCAACAGCCACAGACATGGGGGAAGGGGGACACTTTTAACATAAAACCAGCAAACAGAGACAGACAAACTAAAACACAGACAGATGCACACACTACATACATTTCGCCACAAACAAAGCTACACAATCCGTAACGGAGGCCGAGATCTATGGCCCTAGAGATCACCTCCGTTACACCCACTTTACTCCAAAAAAAAACAAGTGCTTTGTCAGGAATGAATAAAGTAATACTAATTTGTGGCTCCTGTCTATTCAGGAGTGGCTCGTCAATGAGAAGCAACTGGATGTGTTTGGGATGAAGCTTCCTACTGGCTTCCAGCTCATTGGACAAGTGGTTTGTATTCTACCTCAGTTCATCATCAGCAGCCAGCCAACAGGACTCTCCCTTTTGAGAGACCAGAGTTTTAAACAGGCATCCACTCAGACCTCTTCCCTGTGCAAACTAATTATACTGTAGGCCAAATTAAATTGAAGGTTTTAGCTGGCATTTTAGAAAAAGGTTTACTTCTGTAATAGATCTTGGTAGGGTCTTTCAAAATGTTGGAGCATAGTTTAAAAAAAAAATGCAAAGTATTTTTTGTTATTTCCTATAATTAAAAAATCAACAGTAATAATAATAGTAATAATAATTATTAACAGTAGAAGATCTAAGAGCTCATTACAGATGATATAAAGTCAAGTTCTAAGTACAAAGTTCTACAAAGTACAACAATCTTAATACTAAGATGTTTATATACAGTACATACACCTTAACAATAATACAATTAAAATAAAACTGGAATTGAATGTAGCTTAGCAAAGAAACCCTATTTTCCTTTTTCTGGTAAAAACTCCAGAACCAGTTTATTGACATTTTTCCATTGACCGTTTCATAAGATCAGGAAAAGGAACATTGTCATGACCTAATTTATTTTGAACAAAGCATTAGTTAATTAACATATTTGTATTGTGTGCCTCTACTGTGACATGTCTCCATGCTTTAATGTTCAAAAAGCTCTTTATTTTTCTCATACTGCCTGTGCTGCAGCACCTCTTTTCACCCTCTGTCTGAAACCAGAGCCCAGTCTGCTCTGATTGGTCAGCTGGCCAGCTCTGTTGTGATTGGTCAACAATGCAAGTGTTTTTATAATGTTACGGAAGTAAACAAAGGAGTCCAATGAAGTCCAATGTAGGCGTTTCAGGCAGGGGGGGGGAGTGTGGGATTTTAGCCTTAGCAGACCATTTACATGCACTGAAACCTATTTGACACACTACAGGAAAGGGAAACCCCCCAAAACACATACGGGTCTCTTTATATTCTTAAAGTGACTAGGTGGCTGACCTTTTGATCCTTAGTGATGATAAAGAGAGATTTATTTTGAGTCTAAACATAGTTTTTTGCCTCTTTAACAGGATATTTAAAGCCAAACATTGTCAATGTTTCTTAGGTGATTAAAGGTTGTTTTGGCTCATGTGTGAGAATATAATGTAGCTCTCAATCTAGAATAGTGGCCATGCATGTTACTTCTGATTTAATATAGTATCCCTCTGATTACATTCAAAGCCCTTTAGTAGTTCTAACATATTTTTCTTTCATCCTCTTGAAATCTTAGGGCCTGTCAGACTACACCAAGTGGCTCACCCACTACTCCACCAAGCAACAAGACAACCCTGCTAAACCAATCACATACAGATCCTTTGCCCGGTAAGAAAAACCTCAACACAACACACTCAAGCTTTCCCTCTTCCTCCTACCTCACAACAAGAGCCCTACAACCTGAAAGACACTATATGGACAGATTTCAAAACATATGATGCTTCACAGGGTTGGATTGATGGGGAACCCCTCGGATGGCTTCAACGGGAAAACCATCGCCATGTCCATCTCTAACTTCTGGGCCGAGGTCACTCTTGTGGAGAGCCAGACTTTGGTAACACTTACAAATTCAGAAGTAAAGAAATAGAACTTCATCTGGGACATATTGTGGAAAACATTTGTGAATTTCTGTGACTCTGTAGGTGTTAGTCCCTCATCCCCTCAACGACCCCACAGAGTTTGGAAGCTTGCAAGATCTGTTCTGCATCAGTAGGAAGGAAGGGTGAGTACATCACACATGAAATGAGCAAAAATACACGAGTCATGTTCAGGCTTTTTCTACATGTTCTGTTCACCCCCCCCCCTCACCTGTAGGTACCTGGGAGGTCTGCGGCTGCTGCAGGCTACCTGCAAGAAGTTCTACCAGTTCTGCTCCAAACAAGGGTAAGGTCAGATTATTATTGGATAAAATATTTAATTTAAATATTAGCGTGAGCATTCTTTTTACCTCCAACTTTGTATATCATATACATTATATATCACCACGGATACTGCTTTAACTTTCTCCAACACTATGGGTTACTTTTGCAATTTAAAATAGTGAATACATAAATAAAGTTTTCAGATAATTTCATTGAGTGATAATAGATTATTGTAAAAATACTTAGTTACAATTAAAAGCACTGCTTTAAATACATGACGTATTTATTAAAACAATCTGACACTGTGAGGCTCTCCCCTAAATCAAGAATACTGAATAGTTCCATCATTATAAGGGATGTGAAAATGTCTTCAATGTCTGCTGTGTTTTTTTTCCACAGTATTGCTTTGACAAAGCAGAACTTCACACTGAAGTATGACACCAACATTCCTCGGCAAGTGGTGAGCATCCATTTAAATACTGGATAACAGTCAGTGTATTGGTCTAATGTGAAAACCTTCCGTAAAGATGAAACGATCTGTCTCTGATTTACTGCAGGGCCTCGCTGGAAGCAGGTAAAACATTCTGTCTGATGATTTGGATAAGGTAATTTTAGGTAATTTTCTATGCTTTTTATTTAAATAATGTAAGGCCCTCTTATTTTCACAGTGCCATCGTCTCAGCTACTTTGAAGTGTCTCATGAAGTTCTACAATATCACAGACAATGTAAGGATTTGTCCCATCTGATGGAGTTACCAAAGCATCAAAGCTATCTGGACTTTTCAGTTACACCTTACCACTACAGCAGTTTTTTTTTGTTGGTGTATTTAGCAAGGGCAATGCACATTAATGAACACTTAAAACAAAAAAACGCAAATAGTGTAAATATGCCGGATTTTAGCTTGGAGCTAATTTCCATCCGCAGTCCCTCACATAAAACATTTAAGAACATGAAAATTATACACATAGCAAAAACAAATACATGATATGCAAAAGAGCAAGAGCAGCACACACAAGTATTTACCACATGGCAGTACACTATACACACTATAGCAAAGAAGATAGAAGAGATACATAAAGTGCAAGAGGAGATACCCCTGTATTAAAGGGCATTTAGCGGTGATTGCACGTCTGTTTGTTTCTCAACCATTCTTTGAGTTGACCTTTAAAGCTATTGAGAGTGGGACAATCCCGTATTTCAGTTGGGAGGCTATTCCACAATGAGCTGCCTTTAATGGAGAGTACATTTTGTCCTAAAAGGATTTAAAAAAACATATGATGAAACAAAGAACAACAAATATACATAGTCCAGGAAGGGGGTTAATAATTTGAGAAAATAATATCAGAGATAGTCACTGATGTAAGACACGAAAAACTCATCACAGAAGTTTAAATAACATTAGTGAGGTGTGGAGTTATTCTTTTTAAAGTCCATTTACCAATTTTATTTTAGAGATTATCCAAGTTATTTATTTGTTTTTAAAGATATCTTTGGCCTAAAGAGTGCCTTTATTGAGAGATACAGTGTTGAAAGGGTGGAGACAGAGGGGTCGACAATGCCTTTTAAGTTCTGTGTGCCGGACTCGAACTCGCGCACTCGGCAGCGGATACCACATACGGGTCACCTGATAGCGGTTAGACCTGGCAGCCAAGATTTTTTGTTAAGATTAAGTTGATTTGTGTTTTAATTTTTTTTTCCTGTACAGTATATTACCCCTCTTTCCCTTCATATTGTTGATACCTGAAATGGCCCTGATATGCTGTCATATCTTCCGCTGTTTGTGATAATGAAAAAAACATCAGCTGCAATGTGTTTCTTTGTATTCATCAAAGTCTTTTTCAAACAAGTGAAATGAAAGACTCCCAACTAGTTTATAGGAGCTTAGTCAAATACTAAAGCTACCGAGGCATTTAACAAAAGATGTTCGCGAACGTAACATCACCACACGTTGCTGATACAGCGGTAAAAAAACTGTCAAACGCACCCAATCATATGACACAGCACCTCTAAATACTGTATCTCTGCCCTTGGCAATAGGACAGTGACACATTACGCACAAACATAATAACACACAATTGTGACGGATTAGACCCAAACATGACCCCTCATTAATATGGCTTAGCCTTACATGGTCAAAAAAACACTCAAGAAACACTTCTTTTTTTATTACATTTAAGTGAAAATGACATACAAGGTATCTATTGTGTCTTTGACTTGTTTATGTATCTCCTATTTGACTCTCCAGGATCTCCCAAAGCCGATCCGAGCCAACTTCATCCTCAACGTGGAGACTGATGAGCTCTTCATCACTGCGGGCCTGCAGGACAGAGTTGTTCAGGTCAGTAAAGAAATAAACTCTCCACAAATGTACCGTCACAACATCAAACCATGTCACTTAACTTAAATGCAATACTCCTTTGTCTTTACAGGTGTATGAAGGCTTAGTCTACATGGATTTCAGCAAGAATCTCATGGCAGAGCAGGGCTACGGTATTGAAGTCAACATCTGTCCGTGGATGATAAGTGAATGATACAAAGAAATGTCTTTCCTAATGTGTGTTTCCTGTTGTCAGGGAACTATGTTTCTATGGACATGAGTGTGCTCCCACACTTTTGGCTGGCTTACCTGAGCGACCCCAGCGACTCTGGACGCATCCACAGCAACATCAGACAGCGCTGGCTCAGTGGTGAGTCTTCTTATGGAAAATGACTCTTCACTGCTAATTAAAGAGGCTTTATATACAGTGATGCAAATGAGTCGCTTTTCGGCGCCTCCCGCTTTTTTAACGCTGATTTGGGTGACTTGTGTTATTCGTGGAGAACCGAAGAGTT